GCCCGCTCTGGGCAGGGAATTGTTCCTCAGCTCCAGCTAAACCTGCCCTGAGGGCAGCTTGAGGCCGTTTCCTCTTGTCTCATCCCTTGTTCCTTGGGAGAAGAGACTGACCCCACCTCACTACAATCTCCTTTCAGGTAGTTGCAGAGAGCAGTAAGGTCCCCCTGAGCCTTCTCTTCTTTCTGGCTACTTCTTGGTAGTGTAATGTAAGCTCCCTTTTTCAACTTATGTTTCTTCGTTTTCCACCTACTCATCATCATTCTGAACTGAAAGTTGACCTCAGGAAGTGCTGTTACCCACTAATCCTGAAGTAGGCCTGGTCAGAATTAGTGGGTAACTCTGGCCTGGCTGGGAGCAGACCATCCAGTCCTAATACAATGGTCCCTGGCTGAATGTTGCTACCAGTGTGTCCTCCACGGGGACCTCTCCTGTGTATGTGTGTGTGTGTCCTTCATGGGGACCTCTCCTGCGTTTAAGAACAGAAGCAATTAAAAAGCAAACAGAGATGTGGATGTGAAGCTGAAAGCTTTGCAGTGTGCCCTCTTCACTTATTGTTTGGGCATGTTGCTGTCAGGTTTATGAAGTCTAAAGGCTGCTAAGCTAACACCTTTCCATCTAATCGGTTTGTGTTTGGATATGTTGGCCTCCAACCACCCCCTGACTAGTCTGGGTGGTTCATCAGCTTGCTTATCCCTCAAGAATCTGAATTTGGGTGCTATTTCTGAGCTCAGTTCTGTTGTGTGAATATACATGAACTCTGTGCCCCTCTGTCTCTGCATTGAGTGCTCACACGTCAGTAGTGTGCCAGTAAATTACTCTGGCAATCTTTTGCTTGTGGATCTGCTTTTCCCCTGCAGTAATAGAGGAGTTCTTTGGGCTCCTGTCTCATTTTTCACTTCCTGTGTACTTTGCTGTACCTAAACTTTGCAAACCAGGCACCAAATCTCTTTGCTTTTCTTTTCCTTACACCTTGGAGTTCTCAGCTTAAAACTTTTCACGAGGAGCAATGGGCTTTTACCCTTCTGGGGTTATGTACTGACCCTTCTGCCTTTGAAAATTCATTTAGCCTTTTCAAAGCAAATGAGAGCATTCTAATGCTTGCCAAGGGTAAGAGTTCATTGTAGGATTTATGTACAAAGCTCAGCACTTTGAAAGCAGAGATCAATTGCACTAGATTTGAAATAAACCATAGCCAATGGCCTATTTTCTCACAGGGTGCTAAGCTTTGCAGGGGTCAAACCAAGCATAGAGGGCTGTGACCTTTTGGTCCCACCTACAAGAATGACTGCAAAGGTGAAGGACCTCTTGATATTTAAGTTTGCTTATTACTTTTGGTCAATATGTATTGAAGTAGTTTTGACCTAATCTCATGGGAGCTCCCAGATTTGGTTTGTCATCAATCTGTATTACACTGTCAGACTTGTTTTGATGCTCCTCTCCTGTGGAAGGTGGATGATGGCACTGGCATTTACTCATGTTAGGAATTGTTGAAGTGATAGTCCAGACCCCTGTGTGTATCTACCTTTTGTACTCAATTC